CCCTCATGAGCTCTGATACCACTATGGGTTTCCTTGCAAATGAGTGGTGGTGAAAGTACCAATACCTCAGCAGCAGTTAAGAATTTGGTCACACTGTGGCTTTCAAAGCAGGTTTGGAATTTAAGGTGGTACCTTGCCTCCTGCTGCTTGTTGCTACGCCAGTACTGGGCCTTGTAATGGACAGTGGGAGCAGTTGTAGGCTGTTTCAGTGCAAAAGCATCTGGTGTATTTGAGTCATTGTTAATTGGCTACAATAAGAGTTGGCTTAAATGGCATTTTTAGTGCCCAAAGAAAGGATGGTTTCAAAAATACCGATATTTTAAAAAAAAAACAACAACAAGACTTGTTGCATTTCTGATCATCTACTTCATAACAATAATAGATATGCATACAAGTGCATGAGTAATGAATTCTGAGAAAGTAAATGGGGAAACAAATGCTTTTAAAAGCTGGAAGAGAAATCTTGAAATTTCTATGAAATTCCAATTAAATTGTTGTTTACACGAAATATGTGTGCAGTCTTTTTGGGATACAATATGAGTGTGTAACTGAAATATGCCATTATTCTACCAGATTATTAGAAATACCATGCACAGTGATTTCACCATATTTTGAAAATGATGAATGATTTACACAGATTTTTACAGGAGTGAAGTCTAGAAGGAAAGAAAAAATATGAATGCATACACATCTTAGAGGAGCCTCAAAGTTATATCGAAGTGCACAGTGGTTTTACTGGTGGACTATATGGAAAAATAATAGCATTCAGATGTTTAGGTTAGCTAGAGAACAGCAACTATCCTGGATTATTGAGGTAAGGTGCTGCAAGTTTTAAGACAAATGAACTTTGAGGTTGCATATAGTGCTTGGCATTTATATAAAGCAAGCTCAAGGTTGAATGCAGCATTCAAGTTGTAAAATGGATGTAGAATGGGTAAAAAAACCTGCAATTACTTCAGTGACGATCCATTCAGGTTAAGAATTTTCATCTTTGCTGTTGCCATAGCAATCTGTTCCCCTGTCACTACCACATTAAAAACCCATTCTGTAAAACTGTTGTTGCCAGTGTTGAACACGTAACACACAAAAACATTTTTTAATAGCTTAGGTGTCTTATTTGCAACATGAAGAAGACCTAGATCTTAGAGAGATGCATATGTACTTTAAAAAGATTAGTGTTTCTATAATACATTGTAGGAACACAATATTTGCGCTGCAGTATTGATGTCAGTATAAAATAGTTTGCAAATAGTACAGCAATGCAGTGTCAGTTGAACTCAAATAATTGAACTGTTATGCTAAGATATAACAAACCCGTATGTTCCTGAGTTATTTATTTTGGTAACATGCTGTAGTGAAAGGCTTTTGAAACTATGTGGCTTTTTAACCCTCTGTTACTCATCGAGTCTGATTCTCTTCAGTGATTGACTTCAGTGATTTTATCTGTACTGGTGTAATGGGAGAAGAGTTGTGTCCCCTAACAGCTTTATGCCTGTGATCTAATCTTAAACTGCTCATGTACCCAAGCTCAACAATGAGTTTGTAAAGTGTTTGTTAGTAGTACATCCAAATGAAGTGGAAAAGGAATTTGTAATTCAAAGCAAACATAGCAGTGCTCTGACAAATATTTTTACCCAAACTGAGTAAAATATAAATATCTTTCAATAGCGTAGAGATACATATCTCTCTGTGTGGATATATATACACATATATATACATAGATGATGTATATGTGTATGTATAGATATGTATATATGTGTGTTATATATGTATATGTATTCATTCAGGGCTGAAATGCAGAAGTTTACTAAAGTCACAAATGTGCATAAGTCATGGATTTAAAAACTCAGGCATTGGTTAAAGAGGTCATAATATAATAGTAAAAAACTGAACTTATGTCCCTGAGTCTGATTATTGACAATGTAAATCTCTCCTTGTTTCTGCCTCAGCATCCTTTTATCCTCTAACCATCTCTGCCCTTTGTCTGAATTCTTATTCTCTGTCCACACCATACTTCTTTGTCTCACTTTTTATGTCTTCTGCTTGCCACTGTCACCACACTTCTGTCCCTTAGTTCTCTTTAAGAGCCTTGATCTAGGGATGGTGTTGATTTAATGCAGGCGAAGCATAGAAGTAGAAAATATAGCAAATAGTTACAATGCTATTGGGTATTAATAGAAGAATTGAGAGCAAGGAGTGATTTTCTTTTTTAACTACACTTGGCAATATCTGCTAAATTTTTTAGTTTATTTTGGCTATATGAGAGGAACTGTTTGGTTTTTTTTGTGTTTTATTGCAGCTGTGTCCTCCTGTTTTGGGGCTTTTGGGTTGGTTTTCTTTTTTAAAATTCTGATCATTATTTTCTTAGTGAGTAAACTGTCTACTGAAAGAGATTGTTTCATTTGCATCTCCTCACCTGTTTTTGCAATTTGAAATGTGACCCTTGGGAGCATGCTACTGGCTGACATTTACCCAACAACTGAGATTGCAGGTCATCTGCACAGTGGGTTTGCTGCCGTTCCTGTCTGAGGTCATCTGTGGATTGCTCAAGCAAAAAAAGGTGTCCCTGACATGCCACATACCTGTCTGCTCTGTATAGGTCACTGTAGACAGGGGTTTGGAAACAGTTTGTGTTGCAGCCATTCATTAGTCATTAACTCCTACAGTGGGTGATGTAGTGGCTGAGGTTCCTGTTCCAGTCCAGGGCTGGGGCTGCTTCTTGAGGTAGGAGTTAGCAAGGGGTCATGAGCTCCCAGATGCTTGCCTGGGTTAATAAGTGCTGCTCGATGTAAAGTTTATTAAAATAGACAGTAGGAAATACACCTGATGAATCTGGTTTTATTTGAAAAAATTCTCAGAATAAAGATAGTAAACCTGGCTTAGATGCACGCAGTCAAATAAAAAAAATTCTAAGGCAAACTGAAACTTGGCTCTTCACTTACCCTCATCACTGCACATTTCAGTGCTCCCTCCACACTGTAGGTGTTTCAGGAGGTCACCAGAAAAGCCCAAGTACACTTAGATAGAGGAGAGATTTGGAATTATCTTTGACTTTTATGGACCTTTTTTATTAAAATGCTTAGAGCTCTAAATGTAGAAATAAGAAACTCATTTATCTTGACAAAAGTGCTGCCATAAACTATTCAGCACTCATAAAATAACCTTTTAAATTATTGTTTCTGCTGGTATCGATAAATTCATACAAAGTGCTTAAAGGTCAGGCATTACCAGAAAAATGTCTTTTCAGCTTGTTAATTAAAGGTTTATAAGAATGTGCACCAGCTTGCTCTTTGGACACACTGGAAAAAAGGAAAAAAGAAGAAGAAAGACCCACATGGATGAAAATGATAGTCTAGAATTAGTGGGCGATGAGTCTTTGATCCACCAGGCTCACCATGGCAAGCCTGGCCTCACCTCTTGCAGCCCATGGTCTTGAGCTGAGGACCCAGCTAGAACTGAGGAATTAAGGTGAGTGTGAGCAGTATTTGTCCTGTTATAGCTTGTGCCATGGAGAGTTTGTCCAGTTCTCATTGCCTGCCCAAGAGCATCAGATAAGGATGATTACTTTTTTATTTGTCAGGCAAGTGGTTTATCTGCTCATTATTTACCACTTAAGCTGGAACAAAGCAGTGCTCTGAAATGCACTGAAAAATGTATCCAGAGCCAAATTGCCCAACAACCCTTTTCAGCACCTGCATCTCCTTCACTGCAGAGACTGCAACTGCGATTCCCTCTGTTTTATACTTCACCTCTTTTACCCATCATCTTGGAGACATCCTGGTCTCATCATTAAAATCTGACCTAAAGATTAGGTGACTCCAATGTGACTCTGCATCAACAGATGAGATGAAGTTCATCAATCACCTGGCTGAGACACTGGAAGTGAGAAGTCTGGTTTGTCTGGTTTCTACCTGCGCAGCAGTCTAGCCCTGACAACATTATTTTACCTCTAAATCTCAATTTTTTTCATCACTAAAATGGAGACAATAATACTGACCTAGGTGAAGTACTCTGAGATAACAGATGAAATGTGTTACAGGAAAAGTACAGAGGTTTCTGTCATTGAATTCTGCTGATAGAACAGCTTGAACTATTTATTGCCCAAGCTGGAAGACAATAACAAAACAATGTAAATAGTGAAAAGTAAAATAGATTCTTAGCTATCTCTCTGTCTGAACATACTATAGCACTATTATTAATGTGAGAATAAAGTTTCAACTTTTGCCTTGGCCATATGATTTTTATGTTGAGATTGTTCCCTTGAATATTAAATAGCATATCCTAACTAGAAAAACATTTGTAAACAGGAGGCTGCATCTTTGTCACTGAAAATTTCATAACCTGAGAATGCCATAATTTTTTTTTTGTTCTCTTGGGATCACTGAAGAACTTCTACTTCAGGAAAATAAATGTGACAAATTTTTTGAGAGTGCAAGTGACAGAACTAATGACAGTTCATTTCTCTGATGCCCACAGACAATACATCCTGGCTTTGTCTTCAAGTGAAACTAAGAGAACAGTGCGGAGTAGTTTTATGGTATTTCTTGTTTCTTCTCTCATTCCCATTCCTTTTGGCTCTATGGTTCATTATTTTGAAACATAAAAGGGAATTGGCCCAGTGATGCACCCAGAGGCTGAGATGGGCTCCTTCCTCACAGGACAGAGGCATTCTGGTCTAGACAGGGTTGGTTTGGTGGTTTTTTTTTCCTTGTGATTGATATTTGAACTAGTACAAGAAAAGAGATTTGTTACTCAGACATAGAGTTTTTGTGCATCATACCAATTGATAACTCTATGTTATCTAACTTCTGAGTAATTTTATTTTTATCTCTGTGGTCAATTCCCAATTTCTCTCAGTGTTGGCACTTCAGATTTTAATATATGGTATTCTCCTGGCCAGTTTAAAAATCCTTGCAAATCCACTCATATCTGTAGGAATAGGAATACCAGAATGTGTATTTTCAAGGTCAGAGGTAGCATATATAAAAATAACAAGGGGCATGACCACGCTTCAGGTATGACCTTCCAGAATGAAGAATTTCTTGTTTTAACTTTCTGTAGAGGGTATATGTGCAGATCAGGAGAAGTTGTGGTGCTCCTGGTATTTCCAGGGATAACTCAAGCTTCATTGCATTGTGAAAGAAATGTCTATTTATAAAGTGTTGGGATGGAGGGAAAATATAGATCATATTTGTAATGAACTTTCAGTTCCTCTAGTGTCAGTTGGAAAGTTCATTTTGGTACTCACTTTAAAAAGCAAAATAAATGGCCTGAATTAAGCTTAGTTCATGCTAATATAAAGCAGGAAGTTGTGGTATGTCTGATAAGTGGCAATAGCAGCAGTTGGCAACTCAAGTTCTCCTTCTCTCCAGACTGCAGGAATTCATCATGTTGTCCTTCCCAATGTGTGAGGCTGTGATATGGTGGACAAGGCAAAGAAGTAGTTGACTCAGATGGTTTATAGTATCCTTCTCATTGTTTTTATTCAATGTGTCACTCAATAGGGATAAGTGAGATAGAAATACCCTCTTCTCTTCCTCGCTCTGCTGCCAATAGCTTTACTTCTACAGGAAGAAATAACTTACTTGTTCTGGCATGGGTAGAAATGCTGCTTTCTCTGTGCTCCCCCCACTCCCCGAGCAACTCCACTCTTGGGTCAAGACAGAATTTTAATGGAGTATGTTCTCCTATGAAGAAACCAGGGTACTCATAAGCCACGAGGACTCAGGAAAAATTCTTTCATGTTTGTAACTGTACGGTTCTCCTTGTTGTTTAACTCAGGCAAATCTTATGCAAATTTTAATCTTTGCTGAATATATATCATCACACCCCCAAATGTCTCCAAGAGGAGTAGCAGAGTTAAAAATATAAACTCTGTAGGACAAGTTTATTAAAAATATTCTGCATGAAAATTCATGGTATTCTTATCAAACACTGTAGTTAGAATGAAACAGATTGTATTACCACTTTGTGGTTGAGGTCTGAGGAGGACAGATTAGCATGGACCTGACACAGTTTTACTTTCCTTGAGCTGATTACATGATAGTTTCCATTTTATTGACAAATTTCATTAGCAGATTGGGGTAGTATTAGCATACTGTATCTTACTGGCTATGATCCAATATTTTTGTTTTGAGGGGAGTTAAATTTAGAGAAATTCAGTTGAATCTGGTTTTTTTTGTTATCCATTTTTAGCAGCCTGATAAGTTTCTGCGATCAGTGACTAAGTGTCTCTTGCTGTTATAATGACATTCATCTGCTTGCTTATGTTGCCATGTCTCCCAACAGTGATTAAGAAACATTAGAGAGAAGTTAGAAAACCTTGTCTCAAGAACTTGGCCGACTAACTAAAATATGAACTGTGAGGAGTGAGGAATGAAAGAGGGTGAAGGGGAAATGTTAGCAATGTTCTTTAAACCTATGGCCCAATCTTAAACTTAAGAGCTATCTGTCACTTTTAATGGAGAAGATAAAGTACAAGTTATTTATGGCATCTCAGATCCAGTATTTTAGGAGCCTTTGTGGATGAAAAAGAGGTGCCATTCAGAACATCTATAACAGGACTCATAAATGGACATCTATAGATATCTGTATCACTACAGATAGATGAAAAGTCAGAAAAGGATAGGGGCTAAACAGACACAAATTTTTTTTTGGGGAAACTTTTATGTACTTGACTCTGTATTAGAGAAATGTATTTTTCTTACTCTTGGTACCTAACTGTATTCATAAGGGTTAAAGATAATACTGGGTTAGCACATATAATTTCTCCATCTGCAAAGTAAACTTTACGTAGAATACAGCAATATATTTGCTTATAGAAGGAGCTACCTCAAATATTTTAAATCAGTTTTCAAAAAAATTGTTATACAACTAATAGAAGGGTGAGTAGAGAAAATAAACATTGATAGTGATAGCTGTGTTGGTCCAAATGGATGTCATCTTTGCTGAATAGTATGTGACAGTGTGCTGTAGTAGATTTATAGGTAGCTTTCAGTTTTAATAATTCAGTATTTACTATTTACTAAGACACAGTGAACTTGTCTTGTGACCCTGGCTACCATGAAATGCATCATTTTACCAATGCACATTTTGAAGTTTCACTGTTGTCTATTTCACCTTTCTTCAGATCTCTTTTGAAAACAAGTTAGTGCCTAGACAGCCTTCAGCCATGGCAGCACAGTTGCATTTTCTTCGTGTTCCAAACAAACTTTCATAGTGATGAGATGTGTCCTTTGCATCCAGAGTTATCAAATGCTCTAAGGAGGCAATAGGGTTTAGTTAACAGTGCTTTGTATAGGAGGTTAAAGAGAAGGGAGACTCTCTGACCCTTCAGGGAGGAGAGAGAGCTTCAAATGCACCAGTGTATTATATACTCTTCCGTCATGAGTTGGGAAGAGACGAAGAGCTGGAATGGAAACTGCTGCACCAGGCAGATTCTATCTGGGGAAACTGTGCAAGTATTTTAAGCTGTGTTCAACTGTTTTTCTTCCAACAGACTTTGGGAACTATCACTGCAGTGCCCATTAAGGTTCCTCAGGTCAGCTCCTTGCAGAGGTTGGCAGGACAAGGACCAGCAGTGCTACCTCAGGTACAAAATACAGTTCCAAAATGAGTTTGTGTCATTTAATACATGTTCTGCTCTGTTCCTGTCTGGTGTCCAGGCCTGGGTGGGTCAGCACACTAACTTTGATGAATAATGACTCACCTTCAATGAGCTGAATAGCAGAGTTGTGACTTTCTCTACTTGTTAAAAAAAAAAAAGATAAATCCGTTTTCTTCTGGGAGCATACTGTTAGCACAATGAAAAGCTATTAAAAAATCTTGTAGATTTCTTGTGGAAGAATAAAGTACATATGGTGAACTGTAAATCTATGCTTTATAAGATTAATCACAAATCACAGAAGTGAAAATCTGCAATTCTGTAATTAAAAGAAGTGGTGGAAGTACTAACCTTGCTGTTCAAGATTTAGCCTCACACATTCTTTTACTAACTTACTTGCCTTATCCTTGTTCATCCCAGTATAAAGTTTTGGGCCAACTAACCCAGGAGCCATACTGAGACAGGATTGACTGTGTAGGAGTGAAAGAAGAGTTATGCTGACAGATTTTAAAAAAATATTGTCAAACTGTGTTTTCTTTTTTGAATATCCATCACTGTTTCCCTAACCGTACACTTTATTCCCTATTTCGACCCTCGTTTTCAACATGTTTGCATTTCGTTTTCAACAAGTGTTTTGCTGCAGTTCTACAGTTTGCTGTTCAGATTTGTGACTATTAAGTGTAAATATATTTCTCCCTGTGTGGCCCTTAAAGATCTACTTGTCATATGTGAACACTTTTCTGTCATTGAAGTCAATGTTGGGTCTTCCTATTTTTCCTTTATTTTTTACCTACTATTTGCTTGGTGGCAGAATCCATTAGCAGATCTGTGAGCTAAATCTGCCTGGAGGAAGGAGTATTTCCAAGATAAAGTTCTTAAATTCTCTCTTTAAATTACGTTTTGAGGAAGGCAAAGTTGTGAACATAAAGGAAGATTATAGTTTTCTTACCAGGTTCAAAACTTTGCTTTTCACTTTTTCTTACAGCATAATAACACATTGATTTCTGCCATTTTGGGGTGTCAAAGATGAGCAGATTGCTCTTCAAAATAGATGAGGTTCAAGAGCAACTGAAAGACCTGTAACAGGGACTTAAATTACCATTAAGGTTGTGTTTCAGCAAAGATGATGGCATTGCAAGTGCTGCATATAGAGAAGAATCAATGTTCTATGCTTTTGTTAAGTAAAAAAAAAATTGTTCAGTGTTAGATTCAATTTTAAAGAATTGTAAAAAGTGGAGGAAGCTGATTTCCTCAACTTTTTGAAAAGAACACATACCCTTGCTGTTACAGCTCATGGCAATATTCGTGTTTGTGTTTCACTTTGTTTCACTTGTTTCCTAGCACAGCCTTCAATTTCAGACCTATTTATGCAATCATACTTAATACTGATGAAACACCAACCCTTCCTCAGCAGCCCTGAAATAAGAAATAACCACATAGCAGTCTAATTTCTGTCAAAACTAAAAATCAAGTAGGCAGCTGTATATAAGATCACATTATCAGAGGAACATGTTATTTTCTGAGTTTTTTCTGACTTTCCACAGGCCAATACTGCCTTCTTCCACAACAGCTTGCCCCTTGTACAGGCTCTGTCCTCCTTTGCAGTTCATCGTGTTCCTCTGCCACTCAAAGCTTACAGAGAAGGTTAAAATTTCCTTGCTGTTTCCTATTAGGAACTCCCTCCACCCATCACAGCTTTCTGCTTGATGTCTTTAGAGAGATCTAAGTTTTCATCTACAAGTGAGAAGTTTGGCTTCTCACTAAATAGTCACATACCTTCAAAATATATTTAATATAGCAATAAATCAGAGTGATGTAAAACTGTTGCTCCCCAGATACAACTGGATACAGGTGATCTGGGACACGGCTGTAGTGAGCTGCAGCACTGTATCACTACAAGAGCTCTCCTTTGTAATAACTGTTGGTGGGTACTTAGTCATCTATGACAAATTTTGAGAGTCAGTAGGAATCTGTGGTCCAGGAGAACTGAAAATTTCAGGTGGAAATATAAAAATGCCAAGAAGCAAGGCTACGTAATAATACCACAAAGGTGTTATGGTAAAGAACATCTCTTCCCTCTTCTCACTCATAGCTCTGAGAAAACAAGTGCCAAATTAAAAATTATTTTGGAAATTAAGAGGCATATAGCATCTTCCAGTAGGAGCCAGAAAATATGCAGAATTAAATCCTATCACAATCCATAACTTCTCAGCTCTTATGCATTAGACTTGATTACAAAGCAGGCTGACTACTAACCTCCTTTTGTCCTTGCTGGGTAACAGACATGGCTCACGTACCTTCCTCTGAGTTAGTGGCACAGTCCTACCATTCTAGGACTGACTTTCTGAGAGGCAGCTTTGCCATGATCTCCCAAGCATACTGACAAGCAGGATCCAACTGAGTTTGGCATCTGCTAAAACCTCTACTCTGGATGCCTATGTAGCAGCAAATAAAAGAAACAGCTTTTCCAAATCAAAACAATATTCATCACTCCTCTACCAAGAAGTCCACAATATTTTGCACTAAGAATTCAAGCACTGCAATGTCTGTACACGTGCATGTTACCTGTAGCTGAATCTTATTCTATAAGGTATTGCACTTTCCCTGACCTCCTTCCCTGTAAAGTCTGGCTTCAACAGTGAATTGTGTAGAGCCCTAATAGTGAAACCATAGCACCAAAGGCTTCAATGCAGGCCACCTAAGGTGGCTTAATCATGTCTGTACATGCTGCTGCCTCTCTTCTTGTCTGTGGAGGGTTTCAAGGCCTGGATGGATCCCTTTTGGGATCCCTGCCATGTTAGGAGCCTATTTGTCTCTGAGTCACACTCTGAAAGTGGCTTCACTCATAGCCAGGCTGATCACTCTTCTGTTTCAGCTGCACGTAGGTAAGTGGGATTAGTCCAGGTCAGTGTCTACATTGTTGACAGCATACCAATTGCTAGCTGAAATTTCTCCTTTTGGTGAGTCTCATCATCTCTTTGGGATTTCAGGCTCCCTTTAGATTTAGATGTGAGCATGAGAGGAATAAACATTGCCAGGCTGGCTGGAAAGAAACAGAGGACTACTCCATTTGAGGGCATCTCATCACATCTGAAGGAGTTCTATATTTTTGATGCTTTCATTTCTCCTTATCTAGACAGGCTCTTTTGATTTACTTCTATGCAGTCAAGCAGGAAAATACCACACAAGTAAACTAAGGCACTTAGCAATACTTAGGTAAAATAATACATACATCTTTCTCATTTTCCACATTTGTACAGATACTTGTCATTTGTTTTGTTCATTTGAATGGGTTTATGATATGACCCCCTGGGAGCTCTTCCATATGGGGAATGAAGTTTCAAAATCTGCACATTCACAAATGGCAGCAAAATCCCATCACTTAGTGCAGAACTGCTATTAAATGGTGAGCAAACAAACATTAATTACAAGTTCATTGCACAATGCAAACAATATTTCTTTAGGCATTCATTATTTGCCAAAACAAGCCTCTTTGGCAGACCTTTTTTCTTTTATTTTAGAAATTATTTGTACAGAATATAAAGTTATATTTTTCTTTCATCAAATAAATAAAATTTCTGCTATGAGCAGTGATGTTTGGGAAGTTAATTCCAGATAGTATTTCTCTTCCTACTTTGAGGTTTCCAGCTGAGTGAGATGTTTTGAAACTGCAGTCTCCACTGTAGTCTGAGAAGCAAATACCGGACGTCCTCTACTCAGATACGTGGATGAAAGACTTTCTTATTCTTGAGCTGTTCCTTTGCTTTATGGCACCCATCAACCTTAATGAGTGAGGTGGTCTTACATCAGGTTGAGGTTCCAGTTTCCAGCTCCTGTGCAGACAATCTATTTTGAGCTGGTTTACATAAAAATTGAAGTTGCGTGGTAGCCACCTGAAGGCACATGGGGAACCTTACTTTCTGTTCTTCTAATGGCAGATGTTAGATGGAACAGTGAAGATATTAAAAAACCCTCCTATTTTGTTGTCAGTAATTTGAGCCCACTCCAATTCTCATCCAAATTAATGGAGAGACTGTGATGATTTGAATAGCAGTTAAATCAGATTATAATGCTATTTCCCTGACCTATTTTTTCAGTCCTGGTTGAAGGCAGGGCTTGAGATGATTAGAGTAGAGCAGAGGGTTGTGTAGCAGATGCCTGCAGTGGAACTATCACACAAGTTAGTGGAGAAAAGAAACAGGCATGCATAACCACTTTAAATGAAACATGAGTGCTTTTCAGTCAACTCTAGCCAGTTCTGATGTCAACTGCTGCTTTTTTTTTATCTTCTGGAGTGATTTTAATGTATAATGCAGTAGGGTCTGAATTTGGTCACTGGGCTTGCAGGCTGCTTTGGGACTGGGACTGTTACCATGTGTTTGTTCATCACTAGGTACCGTGTGAGCCCGGTCAGAGACTGTGGTGTCTAGATGTTCCCAAAACTTAAGCAAATGTTCTCATTTTAAAAAATTTTTGTCAAAGTTCTCATTAGTGCAGTTTCTCTGATAGCTGCTGCTTCTCTTAATGTCTATACCGAAACCAACACCTACTCCTGACTTCTCCAGTGATACGGCTTCTGGAAGGTTTTTTGAAGGGAAAATGACTTCTGTAGTCAGAACCCAAGTTGTGTGATGCCACTGTGTACTGTAGGGGAAATACGGTAACAGATTGGTCTGTAGCAAAGCCTCTCTCTGTTTGCATCATGCTAGTCTAAAAAAAATAATTAAATGTAAGGTGTTAAGACTGTGCATAGCCATTAGAAAATGAAAAAAACATTACTAAATGCAAGTCAGTCTTTTGTGAAACTGGAAAAGAAGCTAGCAGATATGCATGTTTATATAAAAAGTTACATGGAATTGTGCAGCAGAAAGACAAGACCACTTTAATGTTTATTTGAATATGGAATAATTGAATTGAGTAAAGTAATTATTACAGTATCAGAGAAAAGGACTATAATCCCCTAAGGGATGTCATGCACCTTTCTGGTA